GTTGTTATTTGCTGTGTTCTTCGATGAGGTCGCGAGTACGTTCAGATATCCATTGGCGTTTTCTGCTTGCCTCCCGGCGTGAAAAGGATACGGCCGCAGATTCTAGTATACAGTGTGAAATTGCTTGGGCTGTCTCGTGCAAGAACTCGTGTTTTGGTCGTTTCTTCCATGGGTCCACAAATAGCTGCGCGTCCTTCTGCTTAGTGCCCGGCTCCCTCATCATGCTGACGTCCGATTAGTGTTCACGACGCGCGCGGTCTTTCTCGGGAATGCCAGTCTCCAAATCAGCAGTTTCAAGGAAGTGATAAGATTGCAGATGTCGTTGCTGGTATCTCCAAACTAAAGCAATGGCGGACAACTGTTCTCAAGGCACGACCACGAGGTCCAACTGTTCAAAGTCTACCGGCAAGACTCGCCTAAGAGGTTTCTGTTCAATGCCATAGTCTGTTATGGTATTCTCATAGCTGGTCCTCAAAAAGGTATTCGCGACACGTGCTTCGAATGGTTGCCACAGTTCTATACGAGGTCCCCTGTTCGATGCAGGCGCCCAGGCCGATGCAGGCTTAAGAAGCACGTGTTCTCTGGGAGCGTCTTCTTCTTCGGCGTACCTGCGCAGTCGACGCGCGTTGAAATCACAGTGGATGATTGTGGGGCCGCGCGACTGGCACGACGAAGCACATGCAGCAATATCGGCACAGTGATTTTCACAAGTATCATAGTCTTGCACGCTTTGCCAGGCGTGAGCTGTAATCAGGGCCAAGATTACCCCAGCAACTCGTATTCGCAAACTTGCCATACTGCTATTTTTAGAGACGTGTCCTTTGATTGCATGTTTAGCCCAAGGCGCCGCTGTGAATCCAATGCCTACGTGCTCTGTGTTTGCGTTGCCGTGCGCAGAAAATACACGAGCGGCCCTCGAATTCAACCACGGGTGACCCACGGCATGGCGTCTCTGGAAGACAAAGCTCTGCGATGGTGAGGTCCCACATTTGCCTGGTGAGTTCGTACATTCTTCACGGCAGGTCCAGCTTGATGCCTTCGACATCCCACGAGGCGATGTTGCCGCAGAGAGCCGGCAAGCACGGGAATCTATCATATTGCCCCATGCCGGTGCGTACTTCTTGGTATTATCTACTACTACCACTATTACCACTACTACTCCTCTTGTTATTATTATTGCAACCACCACTCCTACTAGTTCTACGACTACTACTACCACCACTACTGCTACTACTGCTGCTACTACTACTACTGCTACTACTAGTACTAGTACTAGTACTAGTACTAGTACTAGTACTAGTACTACTACTACTACTATTATTATTACTACTACTACTACTACGACTACGACTACTACTACTACTACGACTACTACTATACTACTACTACTACTACTACTACTACTACTACTTACTACTACTACTACTACTACGACTACTACTACTACTACTACTACTACTACTACTACTACTACTACGACTACTACTACTACTACTACTACGACTACTACTACTACTACTACTACTACTACTACTACTACTACTACTACTACTACTACTACTACTACTACTACTACTACTACTACTACTACTATGACTACTACTACTACTATTACTACTTCTACTACTACAACTACTACTACTACTACTACTACTACTATTACTGCTGCAACTGCTGCTGCCACTACTACTGCTGCGACTACAGCGACTACTACTACGACTACCTCTACTACCCTTACTACTACTACTACTACTACTACTACTACTACTACTACTACTACTACTGCTACTACTACTACTACTACTACTACTACTTGCCTTTCCCGCGCCCTTTCTCAACCCCGCTGCCGCCAAGCAAGAACCCAGCCCTGGCCCACGAAGCTTCGGCGATTCTCAGGGTGGGGCTTCTTACGATGGGCTCTCCTGTGGACTGCGGCGGGAGCGTCAGGAATATCGTGCCCAGGAGGCCTCAGGCCCTAGAGGATTCCTTATCTGATGAGGGCGGCGAAGACATCCATGGCCAATCCACGATTGGAGTTCCACCAGCTTCCAGGCCCTGGCTTTCTCATCCAATAGATAATGCCTGATCCACTACCACGACCGTAGGCCAGGGTCCATTTCGGTCCGATCGATCTGGTTCGATATCAATTCCGGCCCGCCCGATCCGATTTGAGTCCGATGTTTTCGACGATCTGATGCGTCCCGATCTCCGCATGGCGCTGTTATGCATCGTGGCCCGGCCGAGCCAATTTAATCTCGACTCCGCGCCGATGCGGCCCGATTCGACGTGCAACTCAGTTCGAGCTGCTCTCCCGTTTCGATGTGGATTGATTTTGCCGTCGTCGCGACTGTAGCCACATGGAGAACAACATGATTGGGCATGAATTGTCGGAGTTCCGCGCCGATTCCTTGGATCGGCGCCCTTTCCCTCCTCCCACTCAGCCCCAGTCCCTTGGCCCGCCAGGGGAGCCCGGCGCCTATCCGAGAAAACTGCGAGGAGCTCCGACGGTTTATAGGTTGATGCCATGTTTCGTCACTCCAGCAGTGGAGCCTTCTCGCGCCTATCCGGTCCTGTCCGACCCGACCTCCCTACCATCGAGAATCAAAGAGCCCTTATACCCCTCGGACAACTGTGAAGGCGTAGCCGAGCCTATGTCCCCTTCTTTGCCTCAGGGATCTGTAATCCTTCTGGATGCTATGGCCGATAGCACATCTGCTGGAAAGACCCCCCACAGTCACCCCTCACAGTAATGTTGGGCAATCTTCCCAAGGGTACCCTTGCATCCTTGCCTCCTCGGTCCATCCTTGGCCACTTTCGTTGGCCGCGCCCCGCTCGCAAGGTGTCGACATGGCCCTCCAAGGCCCTTGCATCGTTATCGCTTATCCTTATGATACGGTATGACTGCAATAATTTGAAGGTTTTTGCTTAGCACATCTGCTAATTACTCCGACGGAAGGACCCCGCATGAGAATCCTCTGGGCGAATCTGGAAAAAACCCTCACCGTCGTCCTCGTGGTTGGTGAGGCGTCCTGGCTGTCTCTTCTGCGTCTGTTTTTTTTTCCGCCCTGGCGCGGGGATGCGTGCCGGGAATAGCGCTCTGGGAATACGACGAACACAAAGTGGTCTACAGTTGGCTCCGGACATTCAGAATGTGGCCCGGGAGTGGTGTTCTGGGAACACGAAAAACACGAAGTGGCCTACAGTTGGCTCCGGGCATTCAAAATGTGGCCCGGGAATGGTGTTTTGGGAGCACGAAGAACACGAAGTGGCCTACAGTTGACTCCAGGCATTCAAAATGTGGCCTGGGAATGGCGTTCTGGCAGCGCGAGAGCCCAAAAGTGGGGACAGTTAGAGGAATTGGATGACCCGATCGGATTAATAACATCATCCGCGGGCCCCGTAGGGAGGGTAGGGAGGGGGCTCACGCTTGAGACTTCCTTTCGCTGCATTCACAAACGAGGCCCATGTGGCCTGGGAGTGGCGTTTTGGCAGCGCGAGAGCCCAAAAGTGGCGACATTTACAGGACTTGGATGACCCGTTCGGATTAGTAACATGATCCGCGGGCCTATGCCTGAGACTTCCTCGCGATTCACTCACAGACGAGGCTCCCGCCTGAGACTTCCTCCATATTCAGGCCTGAGGAGCTCAAAACGGATGACGACACCTACAGGAATTGGATGACCCGCTCGGATTAGTAACGTGATCTGCGGGCACCATAGGGAGGCGGGTCCCGCCTGAGACTTCTTCGCGATTCACTCACAGACGAGGCTCCCGCCTGAGACTCCCTCCATATTCAGGCCTGAGGAGCTCAAAACGGATGACGACACCTACAGGAATTGGATGACCCGCTCGGATTAGTAACGTGATCTGCGGGCACCATAGGGAGGCGGGTCCCGCCTGAGACTTCTTCGCGATTCACTCACAGACGAGGCTCCCGCCTGAGACTCCCTCCATATTCAGGCCTGAGGAGCTCAAAACGGATGACGACACCTACAGGAATTGGATGACCCGCTCGGATTAGTAACGTGATCTGCGGGCACCATAGGGAGGCGGGTCCCGCCTGAGACTTCTTCGCGATTCACTCACAGACGAGGCTCCCGCCTGAGACTCCCTCCATATTCAGGCCTGAGGAGTTCAAAACTGATGGACACTTACAGGAATTGGATGATCCGCTCGGATTAGTAACATGATCTGCGGGCCCCATAGGGAGGGGGGTCCCGCCTGAGACTTCCTCGCGATTCGCTCACCGACGAGGCTCCCGCCTGATACTTCCTCCAAACTCAAGCCTCAGAGGCCCAAAAGTGACGACAGTTACAGGGTTCCGATGGCCCGCTCGGATTAGTAACATGATCTGCGGGCCCCATAAGGAGGGGGCCCTTGCAGGCATTCCTGATGTTCTGGGAGCACGAGGAACACGAAGTGGCCTACAGTTGGCTCCGGGCATTTAAAATGTGGACTGGGAATGGCGTTTTGGCAGCGCGAGAGCCCAAAGGTGGCGACACTTACAGGACTTGGATGACCCGCTCGGATTAGTAACGTGATCCGCGGGCCCCATAGGGAGGGGGTTCCCGCCTGAGACTTCCTCATAATTCTTTTACAGACAAGGCCCAAGGCGAGTGAGTGAGTGACTGACTGACGGACTGACTGACTGGTGATGATGATGATGATGATGATGATGATGATGATGATGATCACACTCTCTTACGCGCGCACTCATTATCATCACGCGTGAGTGAGTGAGTGAGTGAGTGAGTGGGTGAGTGAGTGAGTGAGTGAGTGTGTGAGGGATGATGAGTGAGTGAGTGCGTGAGGGATGAGTGATGATGATGGTGGTGGGTTCCTGTTCCTGCGCGGGGTGTCCAGAGAAAACAAGAACCCCACTTTAGATGTGGGGAAACAGAACACCCCTGATCCCCATGTTTCGAGTCTCCTGACTTAGATCCGTTCCCAAAGGGTTAGGGGTCCTTTTGTTTGCCCTCCCCCCTCGGCCACCGCGGAAGGCGCTGCGCGCGGGACGGCAGGCGCCGCCTGGCGGACACAGGACCCCGCGACGGGCGCGGGCCAGGAGGAGAAGAGGAGGAGACAAAGACAAGGACATCAGCATAAGGGGGTAAACGTCAACACCTGCGAACGAGCTGCGCGTGCGACTAGCAAAATCCCCTGCGATTGGAGTGTGCCGCAGACCCAGACTTCTCATGGGGGCCGCAGGGGGCACACCCCGAAGCTTCAAGGGACGAGCTCCGAGGTGGCCCCGTAAGAGAGGCTCGCTACCTTGTGAGTACGAATCCCTACGGATCAGTGCGGGGCGGGCAGCTGTGGGCCCTCTCGGGTGCCCATGACAATGACAACGCGCTGGGCGAGCAGGGCTCCCAAGCGAGAGGGGGAAACGACGACACGAGCTCACTCAAACAAGGAGACGAGGAGGAGATGCAGGAGGCCCTTGCGTTCCAAGCTTTGCTGGGCGGGCCTAGTTACATATTACCTCTCTCTCTGTTTTGTTTGTTTTCTCTCTCTCTCTGTCTCTCTCTCTCTCTGTCTCTCTCTCTCTCTCTCTCTGTCTCTCTCTCTCTCTCTCGTTATATATATATATATAGGCCCACTTCTCTTCCTGAGCGTGCTGGCCGTTGGTTGTCCCATGCAACGTCGTATCTGTACCCTGATACCCTGCAGAAGTATTCCAATGTACCCCCTCGGTGCGGCGTGCAAGTAGGGGCGAGTATACCTATTGTCACGGCGTGTGGGAGGCTGTTTTTTTCCCCATTCTGCCAGCCATCCGGACCGTTGTCGATTCGAGTGGGGAGGGGCCCTTAGGGATGCGCTCTAGTGGCCATTGTGGTTGTCTCGTTTGGAGGAGAAAGAGAAGGAGAAACAGGATGAGGAGGATCAGGAGGAGGAAGCACCAGGAGGAGGACTTGGAGGACGACGACGACGACGAGGGTTCAAGGAGGGGCAGGAGGAGAAGGAGTAGGATAGGAGGGGGGGGAAGCAGGATGAGGGCCGAAGTAGGGAGTGGAGGAGGTAGGAGGAGGGGGAGGCGGTGAGCAGGGGGCGGATGAGGGGTTGATAAGCTAGCCTAATCCCACGTGGCCCCGCATAATCTGGCCTCATTATGGGTCTACCCCGGCTCCAATCGATTAATCTAGCCCTGCAATTCGGCGTAAGCAGCGTGCAACCCTACCCCGGAGGTCGAGGATCGAGGATCGACGACGACGACGATTTTTGGTTCGGTGGGTTGTGGGGACGGTTGGGGGTGATTGCAGCCATGTCGCACACAGGCGAGGGCGCAAGCCGACCATTGCGGTTCCCAACGTCCGCTACGCAGCGTGGCAGGGCAGGTCACGTATTGCGATCGTGCGCTTCGATCCTCCTCGGGGAGTTCCCAGAGGTCGCGGATCGAGGATCGACGACGACGGGGCCCAGGCGGACGACGAGGGTCGAGGATCGACGACGACGAGGACCTGTAGGACGACGAGGACTTGGAGGACGACGACGAGGCTCGAGGTTCGGCGACGACGAGGGCGACAAGGCGCACGACGACGACGACGACGACGGGCAGGAGGAGGACCGGCGGCGGCGGCGACGAGCATCGGCTACGATGGAGTCGCGGCTCGAGGATCGAGGGTTAAGTCGGGCCTGTCCTTCCACAGGGGGCAGATTCAAATAGTATACAAACATAGCCTGTGGACGGATCTTCGATTTGTGTTGGCCATTTGGGGGCATTTTTTGGGGGTGTTGTTTTATTTGTCATCCAAAATCCGCCTGTAGGGGGACACGCCCGACCTCATTCGGGCCTGTCCTTTCACAGGACGCATATTCAAAAATAGTACAACAAAAATAGCCTGGGGACGGATTCTTCGATTATTTGTTGGCCATTTGGGGGCTTTTTTTTGGAATGTATATATATATATATATATATATATATGTATTTGTATATATATACATATATATATATATAATGTATCTACATATGTATATATACATATATGTAAACATATATACATATATAAACAAAAATCGTCCAAAATCCGCCTGCAGGGGGACACGCCCGACCTGATTCGAGGGCCTGTCGACGGCGGCGAGGAGCTGCGCGGCAGACCGCCCCCCCGCCGGCGGCCGCCGTGCGCCGCCGCCGCTGGAGCCCTCGGGGCACCTGCCACACGCGCGGGGGCCCGACGAGGCAGAGGCACGCCGCGAGGGAGAGAAGCGGCTGCGGGCAGAGGAGGAAAGAATATAAGGTCCCCCCCAGACATGCTCGCGTCGTAAGAAACGAATCAGCGCGGGAGGTTTTTGGCCCTTTTCGGCCTCGGGGGGCCCTGGCCGGGCCTCGGGGCCGTCAAAGAACGACGCAGGATGAAAAACCGGTCCCGGGGAACGGGTCGGATTTTCCAGGGAACCCGTCATGGAAAAATCAAAAAAATCAGGACGTCGCATCTCTGGCTACCCATACCGCTACCCTTCCCTCGTTTTCCTCTTTTTGGGCCTCCTGGGAAGGGGGGGCCCTCGTCGCCACCGCTGGATGCGCCTCGAAATTCTGGTCAGGACGCACCCCAGGGAGAGGCCCGGGGAGCAGCGGCATCGATACCTTTTGGTTCCCTATCTGTGCGGGCTCACAGGGGCCCCCCCCGGTCCCTGAAGCCGCGCACCAAAGATCACTCTTGCCCAGGGTCACTGAGCGAATCTGGGGCCCGAGTTTCGGGCACGTTCGCATGACAACCCTGCTTCCTCGCCGCTCTCTTGCTCGGAAATGGGAAGACTGCTGGGTTCTTGCTGTCCGCTCCCAGAAAAAAAAGGGTTAGGTCGGGCGTGTCCTCCTGCAGGCGGATTTTGGACGAACTGCGAAAAATAGTCAGAACATATTCCCAAATAGCCAAAATTAGTCAAACAGATCGTCCCCCGATTTTTTCTTCTAGCAATCTTTGAATATTCCTTCTGTAGAGGGACATGCCCGACTTTAACCTAGGGTCAGCCCTGCCTGTAGTTGAGAGAAGGCGTCCTCTGCGGGCATCCGGAGAAGCGTGAGGGGACACACGCAGGACAATTGCACCGGCGATGTGTGCTGTGCGGGCCACGGTGCTGGGCGCGAGCTCTCCTGAGTGCAGGTCGGCCTGTGCGGCCTTCCCGGGTTGACCAGCGACCTTTCGAGTCGCGATGTGGCTCTGGGAGCCCCCAAACCAGGTGGTGAGATTCGGGTTGACCCAAAAGGAGGTCCAGCGACAAGGGGGTGGTGCAATAGATTTGGTGCAATAGGTTTGTGGGGTTGCAATAGATTTGGGGCGTGCAATACATTCCAGGGCGCAAATGTATTGCTGGATTTGCGCGCGCAATGCATTACTTGCAACACAATGCAATCCAATTCTCCGGCAATGCATTTGCAATACGATCGCCCCAGATCTATTGCACCACCCCCTTTCAGCTGGACCCCCTATTGGGTCACCCAAAGAGATCTCGGGTGGTGACCTGAAACCCCCCCAAAAGTCGCCGCAGGGTTTGGGGCACGCGGGGTCACCGCCGGGCTCTGTGTCCTGGACCCACCAGCGTTCGGAACAGCCTCAAACAACCACGCGAGTCCCCGAACCGGGTGGTGACACCAAATCGCCCCAGTTTCACCGCTGGGTGTTGTCACCACCGCGTTGGGGGACAGTGGTTTTGTCACCAGTTGTGCTTTGCGTGCAGTGAAGCAGCGCTTGGACCTTTCGGCCAGGAGCACGTCAATTACGGTCGGGAACTCGTGCTTCCCGTTTCGCGCCCCCAGTTCTGGCCCACAGCGCTTCGGCGCGAGACGCGCTCCATCTTCTGATCCACGGGCGTCACCGTTTTCATTTTCTCCTAGCCCCCCGCCGCGCGGAGCGGAGCAACACGCCATCCGCTTTTGAGGCACAGCGCACCACCGGGGCCGCCGCCGCGGCTCGCTGAGCCTCACCAGGAGCGTTCCATGGGTGCCCAGATCGCCCCGAAAGGCCGCCGGACAGCCGAGGTAATGTCAGCCTGTGGTTAATAAAAGGCCCCCCCCCCAGGGCTGATGAATAGACCCCGCGGGGCGCGATACTTTTAAAACAATCACGCGCGCCAGGGAGAAGGAGGAGAGAGGAGGGGGAGGCGGGAGAAGGAAGAGAAGGAGGAGGACGAGAAAGATGAGGAGGAGAGGGAGGAGGAGGAGGAGGAGGAGGAGGAGGAGGAGGAGGAGGAGGAGGAAGAGGGGCAGGAGCAGGAGGAGGAGGATGAGGAGGAGGAGGACGAGGAGGAGGAGGAGGAGGAGGAGGAGGAGGAGGAGGAGAGGAGGGGAAGGCTGGGGAAGGAAAAGGGGTGTTGCAAAGCCTGCTGCGCGCAGCTGGTTTCGGTCGCCCCGCCGAAGGGCCAGTCCTCGACGCATGGCCGCTTTCGGCGCCAGGGGGCGCTTGGAAAATCGGCGACGTGAGCTGCTTGGCAAATCCCCCCTTTGTTGCGCCCCCCTTTCGTCTAGCCGGCGTTGCCCGCAGGCCCGCATCGGTTCGACAGAAAGAGAGGCGCCCTGGCTTGCCAATTGCTTCAAACACCCCCCCCTTGCCACTCGTTGGCGGCCGGGCGTCGGCGCTAATCACCGGCGCCGCTCCGTTGATTTTCAATTTGGCGGGCGCCACCCCGCGATTCGCCCGAGCAGGGGAACATTTGTTAAAACACGCGCCCCCCACTGATTGTTTAATCACATGCTGACATTATGATGAGAAAACCAGGAGGCAATGTTGGGTCCGTCGGGGGGCACGTCTTTCGACGCCCCTTCTTGTAATTTCGGCCACTTGTTGCTGCTATCGGGCCCCGGGGTCATCAAAAACGGGCCCAACAAGAACAACTGCCCGAAAAGGTGGGGATTGCTGTGGCCGCGGATATAGCAAACACTTCTTGGAGGATAGCTGGGGTTCCACATCATAAGGGCGGTCGGGAACTTTTATGCTTGGCGTGTCGCACCGCCGCTCGGGGGGAATAGGCTCAGGGGGCATCAGGAGCACCGTTAAGTTCAGTCGGGCATGTCCCTGTACAGCACGAATCTCCGAAATAGTCCAAACATTTTCTGGGAACGATGCTTTGACTATTCTTGACCATTTGGGCGTCTGTATTTTGACTGTTTTTAGTTTTGTCCACACTCATGGCGGAAGTCCTCCACCTCTGAGTGCTCGCCCTCCTCTCCCTCCCCGCGGCCGCCCTGCCCTCTTTTCTTCCGTCCTCCTGCATGCTGGCCAATTCGCTGTGTAGAGTCTCTGCGTCGCTGCCGCGCTGGATCGGATCGTCCCGCTTCGCTGCCGACGGGAAAAAAGTAGGGGGACATGCCCGACCGAAGGCTGGGGAAGGGTAGGCCGATCCCAGACCCCCGACGTCATGATGTTTTCATTACGTCGACCCCAGGAGGGGAGGTCGATCTCGACCGATTCCTTTGGACCGATTTTTTTCCAGAGTCATGTGTGGACGGCCCCGAGGGCCGGTGAGGGCCCCCAGAAGCCGAAAGTATGGAAAAACCTTCCGTCATGATTTTTCATTACCCCAGGGGATGTGTTATGAGGAACATCCTGGAGGCCTCGCGCGGCGCGTACTAGTAGTATGATCTAGTCCACCTGTCAGTCCCGTAAGCTATGGGTCGACGCTCGCGCGGCGATGCTCTGGAGTCGGTCCGACGTAAATCCGACGTGATCCGACGTGAGCCCGACGTAAATCTGACGTGGACCCGACGTGAATGGGGTCTCAAGTTGCCGCGCGAGGCCTCCAGAGTTTTCTTCATAAGGTGTGGGTAGGGAGGGGTATACGCCCACCACGGGAGCTGCGCATCGGCCCCCGACCGCCCACTGGGGATTGCAGGCAGGGGCCCCAGGAGCCCACCCCGCCCGGGGGCGCGCGCCCTCTCCTGCCCTCGGGGGCCCCTCGGCGACGCAGCCTCCGACAGGACCGCGCCGCGACGCAAAGAGCAGGGCGGGAGGCTTCTGGTGGCCACTTTCGGCCTCGGGGGGCCCTCGCCAGGCCTCGGGGCCGTCAGAGAACGACCTCATGGATGCAGAGCCGGTCCCGGGGAAGGGACCAGGACTTCCAGGGGCCCCGAAGTGGTTGTTCATTGATGACCTTTCGTCGAACGCCACCTGGCGGTGCCGCGTGAATTGCGACGAGGTTTGTGGATTCAGGTTGAAATTACTAGGGGGTCAATTCAGCAGCGGCGCTAGTTTTTCCGTGGGCTCCATCTGGCCGAATGAATTTATTCTAGCCTGCCCTGATCCGACTTTAATCCGGATATACATGGTGATTATTCCGGCTCAGGCCATAATCGGCACTTGATCGGGTTCCATAGCTTGCAACCGTTCCCACGCAGGCCTCACAGGTGCTGCCGAGTTGCTTCCTGACTGGAGGACTGATGTAGTTGAGGTTCTGGGCTCCTTTGAGGTCCTCTGGGGGGGGTCTCTTCGTCTCCCCTGCTGGATCCCCCTCGGAATTCTGGCCAGCTTGCGCCCCAGGACAAGTCGGTGGTTCGATTGTCAGACGTCCCTCGAGCTCAGATTCCCTCGCGCCCACGGGGACCGCCCAAAGACGGCTCGGGTTGAAAAATTGGCTCTGGGGAAGAGGCCCTGGAGAAAGCCCCGGCTCTGCGGTCTGACGTCGGGCAAAATGTGCCACCGTGGTAAAGCATGACCAGAGCCCGAGACCTCATAGTTCTGCGGCATGTCTCTAATAGTATCCAGTAGGAATCGTGCAAGGTCATGTCGAGCATTCTGATCCGGAGCTGAGCAGGAAGAGCGTGTGCGCAGCATGGTCGTGGAGAGGTGCAGCATCTGCAGGTTGTGCGGGCCCAGGGAGAAGGTGCAAAATGAGCGCTGTGCTGAGGCGATGCCGGAAGCGGTCAGGTTAGAACAGGCCGGTTGAACAAGTGACAGTGCCAGGATCTCAGGGTGGCCCAGGACCCGTTGCCACCAGTCTGGAGGATGGAAATGGGCACAGTAAGAATTGCGACGAACACAGACACCAATTACTGCTCATCGTGGACATGATTTGTTGTCGGTATCGCCGTCGTACCTGTTTTGCGTACCCAGTTTGGACGTCCGAAAACAAAAAATCGCCCCCACGCCGAGGGCGTTTTGAGGAAGTGGTGATTTGCTGCATCATTCCTGCCGATGCGTGTGAGATGATGTGCGCACGCGCGAAGCCGAGAGCACTGGAGGCGCCGATGCGAGAGGCCGCAGCAGCGAGGCACGACGGAGGAGGGCCAGGCTTCGGGCAGGGCAGCCGCTCTGCCGCGCTGCGGCGCCAGGGCCTCGAGGGTAGCACCATCACCAATCCATTGGCGGTGCGCCTCCACCGAGGGACGGCGATCCCGATCTCGGTGGCGGCAGTGACGCTCCCAGACGTGCGACGTCCTGATTTTTCGGCACGGGGCCCCCGGAAGTCCCGACCCCTTCCCCAGGACCGGTTTTTCGTCCCGACCACTTCCCCAGGACCGGTTTTTCATCCTGAGTCGTTTTTGACGGCCCCGAGGCCTGGCGAGGGCCCCCCGAGGCCGAAATTGGCCAAAAACCTCCAGTCCTGTTATTTTTTCAACGACCAGATCATGCCTGGGGGATCATCTCCCCACAGTGGAGGCAAACCCCTGTGTCCGTGCTGGTGCCCACCTCCAAGCTTCGAGCACCCGTAGAACCCAGAGCCCCGACGACATGATTTTTTTCATTACGTCGACCCCTAGAGGTCTCGACCCATTCCCCGCGAACGGTTTTTCATCCCGAGTCGTTTTTTGAAGGTCCCGAGGGCCAATAAGGGCCCCCCGAGGCCGAAAATAGCGAAAAACCTCCCGTCCTGATTTTTTCATTGCCCGAAAGGGTCTGGGAACCGCCCCCCCCCCCACGCCGAGGCGGAGGAGGCCGATGCGGCCGCCTGCTTCGCCGCCAGCTCCTCGGCCCGCTCCTCCGCGGCCCCCCGCGGGGTGCTGCTCGAGCGGCCGGCTTGCCCGCTGCCGGCGAGGTCGGTGTCGCGGCTGACGTCCGCCGGTTCGCAGGAGGCTGCGCTGTGGCCGGCGTGGGCGAGCGAGGATCGGCGGCACCCAAGCTGCACACCTGCACTTTACACTACAGTCCCAGGCCCCCTCGGGTGATGACACAATCATGACGGGAGGCTTTCCGCGATTTTTGCCTTCGGGGGGCCCTCGCCGAGCCTCGGGAGCGTCACAAATAACGACGCAGGATGAAAGACCCGGTCGCGGGGAAGGGGCCGAGACCTCCAGGGGTCGACGTGGTGAAAAAAATCATGACGTCGGGGGTCTGGGGGTGGGGGCGCGCATCAAGAAACCATATGCCATTCGCCCGGGTATCCTGGGTCTCCTCGCTCCCCGCGTTGCGCGGTGACTTCCCGCAGTCGTGGAATTGGAGCTGCTGCGTTCAGGGTGCTCCGGGTTGCCCCTCAGGTGCACCTCGCGCGCGTGTTCTCAGGGTTATGATGCTCCAGCCTACTTTTGCTTTGACTGTCAGAAAGAATTTCGAGCGCCGAAAAATGAACGAAACTCAAGGGTTTTCACGTGTCGGGCCCTGAGAGACACTCGCCTGACACTGGTTTAACACTGTTTCGACACTCTTCTGACACTTTTCCGGGTGCTCGAAATTATCTCTGGGATGTGGTCCTTCAGTAGGATGGGAACAACATAACACATGATTTAGGCAGGGACCGACCGTCCCAGCACGCCTATACCCAGACAGGACCGCGTCGTGCACAAATCAGGACGGGAGGTTTTTGGCCAATTTCGGCCCCGGGGGGCCCTCGCCGGGCCTCGGGGCCGTCAACAAAATGACGGATGAGAATATGGTCCGGGGAAGGGGTCGGGACTTACGGAGACCCCGTATGGAAAAATCAGGACGTCGCATGTCTGGGTATAGGCCTACCACGACATATTCTCAGAACCAAAATATGTTCCAAAAAACAGAAACGACAATGCCCATAAAACATCTAAAGCCGATGTGTTAAAACAAGACAGTCCCAGCCAGAAACGTTCTAAGAACGTCTCGCGGAGACCACAAGTGGTTCTTAGAACATTGCCTGGTAGGCCTAATAGGCACGCCAGGACGCTTCGCCACTGCGTGAACGATCGCGTCCCGAACAAAAATCAGGACGGGAGGTTTCTGGCCAATCTCGGCCTCGGAGGGCCCTCGCCGTGTGTGTGTGTGTGTGCGCGTGTGCCCGTGTGCGTGCCCTTGTGGGTGCGTGCGTGAGTGCGTGTGCGTGCGTGTGCGTGTGTGCATGTGTGCGTGAGTGCGTGTGTGCGTGTGCACGTGCGCGTGAGCGTGCGCGTGGGCGTGCAGGGCTCCACGAGCACACATCTCGGCCTCGGAGGGCCCCAGGCCGTCGAGAACGGACTCTGGACGAGAGGCCCGTGCCCCCCGGGAAGGAAGGCCTCGCGGAGGGCCCGCGGCGCGTGCCCGCGGCGGCGTGCACTGCCGCCGCCGGGGCCCGCCCGCGCGCGGTGGCCTGCGCGGGGCGGGCCCGGGCTGAAGTCGGGCCTGTCCCTACAGCTCAAAAAATAGTTCGGATACTAGTTTGGAATAGTTTTTGACCATTTGGGGGTATTTTTGGAATATGTCTTATGTTTCGTCGAAAGCCCCCCTGTAGGGGGACAGACCGGACTCAAGCCCAGGCGAGGGCGCCTCGGTTCCAAGAACCCCGAGCCCTAAGTCAAGCTGAGGCGAAGCAAGCGTCCTGGCTCGCCTGTAGCCCTACCATCAAGTCGGGCCTGTCCCTCTGCAGGGTGAATGTTCAAACATAGTCAAACAATAATCTGGAGATTATTTTCGGAGTATGTTTTAACAATTTGGGAGTCTTTTTTTTGGATATGTTGTAATTTTCGTCGGAAGTCCCCCTGTAGGGGGACACGCCCGACTTACGCCCAGGCGAGGGCGCCTCAGTTCAAAGAACCCCGAGGCCTAAGTCAAGCTGAGGCGAAGCGTCTTGGCTCGCCTATAGCTCTACCATTAAGTAGGGCTTGTCCCTCTACAGGAGGAATGTTCAAACATAGTCAAACAATAGTCTGGCTTTTTTTTTTTTTTTGAGTATTTTTGCTCCCCAACCATCCTGTGGTGTTGGGTCCTCGTTTTGAAGAGACAGCGCCCGCGTCTCCTTCCTTCCTTCCTCCTCCTCCTCCTCCTCCTCCTCCTCCTTCTCCTCCTGCTCCCTCCTCCCCATCCTTGCATTTGCTCTCCGCATGTCTCTGTTTCGGCACACCACTCACACGTTTCGTGGCCCCACAGGGAGCTCCACATAAGGTCCCAGTGGCGCAGCCCGCATGGCGGCGCCGCCCCATTGTGGCACACCCCTCACACGTTTCGTGGCCCCATAGGGAGCTTCATCTAAGATCCCAGTGGCGCAGCCCGCATGGCGGCGCCGCCCCATTTTGGCACACCCCTCACACGCTTCGTGCCCCCATAGGGAGCTCCATTTAAGGTCCCAGTGGCGCAGCCCGCATGGCGGCGCCGCCCCATTGTGGCACACCCTTCACACGTTTCGTGGCCCCATAGGGAGCTCCACCTAAGGTCCCAGTGGCGCAGCCCGCATGGCGGCGCCGCCCCATTGTGGCAAACCCCTCACACGTTTCGTGGCCCCATCGGGAGCTCCACCCGAGGTCCCACAGGCGCAGCCCGCATGGCGGCGCCGCCCCATTTTGGCACACCCCTCGCGCGCTTCGTGGCCCAATAGGGAGCTCGGCGCAGCCCGCATGGCGGCGCCGCCTCATTTTGGCTCACCCCTCACACGTTTGGTGGCCCCATAGGGAGCTCCACCTGAGGTCCCACAGGCGCAGCCCGCACGGCGCGCCGCCCATTGTGGCACACCCCTCACACGTTTTGTGGCCCCATAGGGAGCTCCACCTAAGGTCCCAGTGGCGCCGCCTGCATGGCGGCGCCGCCCCATTTTGGCACACCCCTCACACGCTTCGTGGCCCCATAGGGGGCTCCATTGAAGGTCCCAGTGGCGCAGCCCGCATGGCGGCGCCGCCCCATTTTGGCACACCCCTCACACGCTTCGTGGCCCAATAGGGAGCTCGGCGCAGCCCGCATGGCGGCGCCGCCCCATTTTGGCGCACCCCTTCACACGTTCCGTGGCCCCATAGGGAGCCCCACCTAAGGTCCCAGTGGCGCAGCCCGCGTGGCGGCGCCGCCCCATTGTGGCACACCCCTCACACGCCTCGTGGCCCCATAGTGAGCTCCACCTAAAGTCCCAGTGGCGCAGCCCGCATGGCGGCGCCGCTTCATTTTGGCACACCCCTCACACGTTTCGTGGCCCCCTAGGGAGCTCCACCTAAGGTCCCAGTGGCGCAGCCCGCATGGCGGCGCCGCCCCATTGTGGCAAACCCCTCACACGTTTCGTGGCCCCATAGGGAGCTCCACCTGAGGTCCCACAGGCGCAGCCCGCATGGCGGCGCCAGTCCATTTTGCCACGCCCCTCGCGCGCTTCGTGGCCCCATAGGGAGCTCCACCTATGGTCCCAGTGGCGCGGCCCGCACGGCGGCGCCGCCCCATTTTGGTACACCCCTCACACGTTTGGTGGCCCCATTGGGAGCCCCATCTAGGGTCCCAGTGGCGCAGCCCGCATCGCGGCGCCCCATCTCGGGTCCCAGTGGCGCAGCCCGCATAACGGCGGCGCCCCATTTTGGCACACCCCTCACACTTGCTGTGGCCCCGTAGGGAGCTCCATCTGAGGCCCCAGCGGCGCTGCCCGCATGGCGGCGCCGCCCTATTTTGGCACGCTCCTCACGCGTGTCGTGGCCCCTCACACGTTTTGGAAACCTTCTCTCCGTCTCGTGGACTCTCGCCCTGGGCCGTCGGCTGTGCAGCGCGCTGCCCCCTCGGCCGGCGTCGCCCAGGCGTGACCCTGGACTGCGGCCGGCACGAGGTGGGGAACGGCAGGAAGGAGGACGACGATCGGCGGCTGGAGCTCTACGCGCTTCTCTCGCGCGCCACGCGCCACGAGGGCCTCCTGCTCACGCGGGCGCCGCATCGAGTTCTTCCCAGCAGGGCCGCCGGAGGGATTGCGGAAGCAGCTGGAGCAGTTTGCTACGCGCACGAAGCGGCGCAGGAGGGGGGCGACGGCCCTCGCCAGGGATCTGGGCTTCACCGAGTTTATCCGCGATGCTTGACTTGAAAAGCGACCCGCCCGAGCCTCGCCGTCTCTCGACGGTCTGATTGTTTGGCTTCGCGCCGCGGGCAACCCGCGCGCGTCGCTGGGGCCCTCTCTGGGCGACCGACGCGCGTCGCGGGAATTCCGCGCTGCGCTCTGCCCAAAGCTTCGCTTGCCCCCGCCGTCTCTCTGCCTGGCGGCCACAGCCTTGCCCGCTTTCAGCCAGCCAGCTCTCTCTGCTCCGCGCGGCGGACGACCCGCGCGCGTCGCCGGGACCCCATCGGAGCGACCGGCGCGCGTCGCAGGGGCCCCGCGTGGCGCCGCGCCCGCAGCCTCGGACGTGGGCGCGCGCGGGCAGAGAGAGAGAGAGAGAGAGAGAGAGAGAGAGACAACAAAAACGTATCCCGCTAAAGTAACCCAACAGCGATGTGCAGGAACATATCTGGAAGCGCTCCCCTTAAGATTCAGATGAGATTCCAGTTGTAGAATTCTGCCGTTCTCGCAGCCGCAGTCGCCGCCGCGATGACAGTCGCAGTGGCAACGGCAATCGCAGTCACAGCCTCAGCCTCGGCCTGCCTCAGCCTCAGCCTGCCTCAGCCTCAGCCTCAGCCTCAGCCTGCCTCAGCCTCAGCCTCAGCCTGCTTCAGCCTCAGCCTCAGTCTGCCTTCAGCCTCGGCCTCAGCCTCAGCCTGCCTCAGCCTCAGCCTGCATCAGCCTCAGCCTCAGCCTCAGCCTGCCTCAGCATCAGCCTGCCTCAGCCTCAGCCTGCCTCAGCCTCAGCCTCAGCCTGCTTCAGCCTCAGCCTCAGTCTGCCTTCAGCCTCGGCCTCAGCCTCAGCCTGCCTCAGCCTCAGCCTGCATCAGCCTCAGCCTCAGCCTCAGCCTGCCTCAGCATCAGCCTGCCTCAGCCTCAGCCTCAGCCTGCCTCAGCCTC